CTAGCACTATTCCGTTCTGACATGAATGAGCTTTATTGGTTGATACAGACATATAGCAGTTTCGTCGTTAATGTTTGCGAGCTCCTGTACATGGCTCCGATAGCCTGCTGGATGCCTATGCATGGCTCCGATAGCCTGCTGGATGCCTATGCATGCATGCACATATAGGCAGGCGGCTGGCAGAGGTTAAGGCCTGACTTCTGCTCCCAGTCGACCCAGTCGACCCGGGTTCAAATCCGCCTGCCGGCTCCTCGGGTGTTTGAGGAGTGATGTAATGGGAGGTGGCCCCCCATCCTATGGACGGTGTAGGACGTGATAATATCAACTTGCGAGCTGACCAGGAACTAAGTTGATGCGCCGTTGATCCGCTAGATTTGGTTGGATGCTGGTGGTGAGTTGCCGAACCCAACGAATACATTCTGAAGTCGGATGGGGTGACGGATTAGGGTGCCCCTCTAGCAGGGGAGAGCAGGGACTGCCCCGGGAAAGGGGGCCGCTGGCGAAGTTAACCACCCTGTAACAACATACATACACACATGCATGCATGCATGCATAGGCATGAAGAAATGTAGACCAGCAGGCGATTCATATGCATATGTCGAGTAATAAGTACGAAGGTGGGCATCACATCCTAAAGCACCTGCCTGTACATGGGGATGTACATGTGCCACATGGGTAGGTTCAAGGCCTAGGTGGGCGTCTCATTTAATCGGCTGTGTAATTGGTTGGCTAGAGTTATGTAGGATTTCTGGATGGGGTAGCTATAGCTATGCATGCTAGCCGACGATGTTATTGTGTAGTATGCTACATTTCCCTCCAAATATTTTAACGATTATTAATAACAACACCTGTTAATTCCGTTGACGATTCGACTCAAGTTCCGTACATGTACATGTCACACAATATCATGACACGGACATATCGGATGTTCGTAGCGACACCTAACAGGCTGGGGCCCCGGGCCCCATCGACAGTATCCTAGTACAGTACGACAGGACCGTAGTAGAGATTCGTCCGGCAGGTAGGCCAAGATATAAGCTACCCGGGCGGGGTGCTCTGGCCAGCTTCAGTATCACGACTACTTGGTGTTCGGAGTCCAAGACTCTGCTGCCACCGTCTTAGTTGCTTCGATCTTGTCTATGTAAGCTAGTGCCTGTCGCTGGGTTGGACTCCTTCCCGCCTCAGCAAGGCCCCTAAGCTCCACGCTTCCGCAAGGTCAGTCGTGCCACCAGGCGAGCATCTGCCACGTGCTGCAATCTACTAGATCTGTAAGGATACAGATAGATGCTGCTATATGCCCTGCCTATGAGTTAGTAGCTGGATGGGCCAAGTGCGGCAGGGTAGGATTTTAATGTAGATAGAGCAGTAACCTCCGATGTTTGCACAACATGGATGTGGGGGGTTTATTCGCATCACAAATCATTCATGCGCACAAAACCTCTGTATACATGCATAGCGTTCCTTACATTCTTCTGCCCTAGTTTCAGGGGCCGGTGACGCCAGGGTGACAAGATATGAGTCTCATGCGTGCGTTTTCATGTGTGTGTATGTACGGCTTGCGTTGTTGTGGTATGTTTGTGTCGTACAACAATGGCATGTTTGGGAGTTTGGTCTAGTGGTATGATTCTCGCTTAGGGTGCGAGAGGTTGTGGGTTCAATTCCCGCAACTCCCCGGCACACGCGCACGACAGCTTCCTCCTCAGCGACGAAACGAAGGGTCTCTAGCTCAGTGGTAGAGCAGCTGACTGCAGATCAGCAGGTCTCCGGTTCGATCACGGAGGGGCCCTGGTATTGACCCTCCTTGACTCAAGAGTGTCTGTCAGAAGCGTGCAGAAATCCTCTTGCAGCGAAGCAGAAGTAGGTTTTTCACCCCAACCTGATGTATCCTGCGCAGACCGCAGGGGCGGTTTCTATCACCCCTATCGATAGCCTGTATGTGGTATGGGCACTGCACTGTGCAACCATGTCATGAGGACCTTACCAACAATCAGCATGCTTGTACACACTTTGCATATGCATTCCTACCCGCATGCACATAGCATGCATGCTGTGTACGTGTGGTTACATCTAATAATATAATAAGTAGGTTGAGCAGTTACATAGGTGAGGCTGGTCAATGGTGATCACCTACCATTCATGGAAGGCATTCATGCATTCTCAGACCAGATCCATTGTTATTTTATCCTGGTGCATCCACTTGTTATCATAGGGTGTGGTGACGCACGGCTACCTGCCTTCAGGCTCCATTCCACAGCTTTAGTCAACTTTCAAGTCAAAACGGATCAGATATGTCAGTACGGCCGGTCTTTCAGTGCATGATGATCGACATGGAAGACATTTCGCTCGTATGGGTCTTGATTGTCAAATCGATTCTATGTTGGATATGGCGGATGTTAAATGGTATTGGTTCTTGTCTCATCACATATAATTGAGCCAATAACCATTATCATGCGTTATGGACAAACCAAGGGACCGACCGACTGACTGACTCAGGGCAAAAAGAGGCCAGATGCGGGACTTAGCGATGGGTTGCACTGAAACACAATGTGTGAGTAGGTGTTGTGTATCTAAAATGTACGCACCTACCCATACATAGATGGGATACCCATGTATGTGTGCCTAGTAGAGCTATATATCTGAACATTTTACGATTTGTGAGCGCCTATATAGCTTAGTGGTAGAGCGTTCCCTTCGTAAGGGAAAGGTCTTGAGTTCAATCCTCAATGTGGGCATTTTATGTGTTGCTGGGATGTTTGTATGGCTGCAATCGCAGTCTTCTACTGAAGCACATGTACATGTCTTTACGATTTCATAGGACATCAAGGGAAAAGGTCCTGCGTAAAGTCCTGCACACAGCAGGAAAACAAGGGAGGATCGTCCGCCTTCAGTCTGTATCACTGCCAATGGAAAGCATCTATAAAACGTAACTAGCACTATTCCGTTCTGACATGAATGAGCTTTATTGGTTGATACAGACATATAGCAGTTTCGTCGTTAATGTTTGCGAGCTCCTGTACATGGCTCCGATAGCCTGCTGGATGCCTATGCATGCACATGCATGCATGCATGCATGCATGCATGCATAGGCATGAAGAAATGTAGACCAGCAGGCGATTCATATGCATATGTTGAGTAATAAGTACGAAGGTGGGCATCACATCCTAAAGCACCTGCCTGTACATGGGGATGTATATGTGCCACATGGGTAGGTTCAAGGCCTAGGTGGGCGTCTCATTTAATCGGCTGTGTAATTGGTTGGCTAGAGTTATGTAGGATTTCTGGATGGGGTAGCTATAGCTATGCATGCTAGCCGACGATGTTATTGTGTAGTACGCTACATTTCCCTCCAAATATTTTAACGATTATTAATAACAACACCTGTTAATTCCGTTGACGATTCGACTCAAGTTCCGTACATGTACATGTCACACAATATCATGACACGGACATATCGGATGTTCGTAGCGACACCTAACAGGCTGGGGCCCCGGGCCCCATCGACAGTATCCTAGTACAGTACGACAGGACCGTAGTAGAGATTCGTCCGGCAGGTAGGCCAAGATATAAGCTACCCGGGCGGGGTGCTCTGGCCAGGCACTTCAGTATCACGACTACTTGGTGTTCGGAGTCCAAGACTCTGCTGCCACCGTCTTAGTTGCTTCGATCTTGTCTATGTAAGCTAGTGCCTGTCGCTGGGTTGGACTCCTTCCCGCCTCAGCAAGGCCCCTAAGCTCCACGCTTCCGCAAGGTCAGTCGTGCCACCAGGCGAGCATCTGCCACGTGCTGCAATCTACTAGATCTGTAAGGATACAGATAGATGCTGCTATATGCCCTGCCTATGAGTTGGTAGCTGGATGGGCCAAGTGCGGCAGGGTAGGATTTTAATGTAGATAGAGCAGTAACCTCCGATGTTTGCACAACATGGATGTGGGGGGTTTATTCGCATCACAAATCATTCATGCACACAAAACCTCTGTATACATGGATAGCGTTCCTTACATTCTTCTGCCCTAGTTTCAGGGGCCGGTGACGCCAGGGTGACAAGATATGAGTCTCATGCGTGCGTTTTCATGTGTGTGTATGTACGGCTTGCGTTGTTGTCGTACGTTTGTGTCGTACAACGATGGCAAGTTTGGGAGTTTGGTCTAGTGGTATGATTCTCACTTAGGGTGCGAGAGGTCGTGGGTTCAATTCCCGCAACTCCCCGGCACACGCGCACGACAGCTTCCTCCTCAGCGACGAAACGAAGGGTCTCTAGCTCAGCCCATAATGGAAGCGTGCTAAAGAATGTTCCTGAGAACGCTAAGAATGCTAAGAACGGCTTGAGAATGCTGGTGCTGCTGAGAATGATCTTATGCCAGTCTCAAGCATTCTTATGACGGTTTTACGAAAGAATGGCTTTGAGAATGCAAACAGTGCGGAAAACTTAGCAGAAACACGCACAAGTTACAGTGGTTTGCCCCTTCCATGTATAGTTCAAGCAGGAAACAGAGAGTCAGTCCTGTATTCTGAAATAAGTTCATAGTGCTGAAATCATCCACAAGACCGACCATGAGGGCCCCTACTGCTCTGGACCCGGGGGTAAGACCCTTCGAAAACTAGTACTGGCTGGCACCAGAAAGTCGCCCCAGTATACAAGCGAAGCAGACATGCCCCAACAATCAACTATCCAACGAAGGATTTAGTCAGTCAACGTATGGAACGGGCCCCAAGCAATTTCTGTCGATTTGCATAGTAATGTGCCACTCCCATTACCTATTACTTCACAATACGTCCCTGTGCACAACATTCATTCGGTTATCCATCAGCCATACCATCAGCTTTACCTTCATTGAGAAGCCCTGCCCAGGCCACGGTCCGACCATTCGAGGGCCTGGGCGACCATGCCCACCAGTCCCCACGATTTGCCCTCCACTCCACCAATGTGTTACTAACGATTGCCCCTCAAGAGCAAGCCACAAGGGATTCAGAGGTCTTGCAGCGCTAATATTAATGTGCTGCTACCGTGACCTCGCCCATGGGGTCTGCGGCTGCAGGGCCTCCCAGCCAGCCACCCGCATGAAGCTGTAGCTTCTTGACAGAACACACAGGGCGCCCCGCTTACTGGGGTGTGGCAAGATGTGCACTCGGCAAGGCGCAACATCCTCAGCCAGGTAGTAACGAGAGCCTGTGTTGGACACACTGGCAGCCCTGGCGTCCACCAAGGGGACATTCATGAACTGGTCGACTGCAACTTCGGCATCACTGTTGTTCCCCAGCAGGGGAGCATGCCATTCGACCTCCAGCACCACATCAAACTTATCCCTGTTCAATGGCGACCTATAGCGGTACAAGCCCAGCACCTTCCCCGCCCACATTTTGTCGCTGGAGTTGCATCTCCGGGTGATGAACCAGCAGGCCTGTGATGTCTTAGGCTTGTTGCTATCGAATGCAGTGAGTTCCACGTTGTTGTTGAGCTTGATGGCCACGAGCTTCTCCAAGAACCTGCCTGTGAGATGTATACCACTGATCGGCTTTGACCCCAACAGCAAACCCGGCTGCACCCACACATCTTGGCACCACAGCTCACTGAGGCAGCACTTGGCAAGCACCTACAGATGCAGGCAAGAGGCACACCAGCAGATAGGTACGGCACGGTCGCTCAAGGTGGTGAGTGTATTTACCAAGTTGTAGCGATGAAGACAGGCATGCATCGCAGGGCAGTCACACCAGGTTTCACACCTTGTTCCGCATGGACACAGAGCCATGGCTGTCCCGGTGCAACAGCGTCCTTCTTGAGTGGGTCCTTAGCCTCATGTGTGAAAGATAGTCGGACAGGAATGGCCCCGGGGTCGTGTCATCAGTCCACTGCTCCCACAGCCAGGCGGTGAAGACACCAAATAAATCAGAGTAGTCGGTGCTGTGGCGCAGGTAAGTCTCATGCATCTCCAGGAGGAAGCCTTCCGGAAGGTTCTCGCGCCGTGCCTGCTTAAATCCTATTGCAGCGTTTCCGGAGAAAGTGTCAACGCTGGGGCCGGTGGAATTAGTGACCGTCCAATACGCCTTCTGCTGATGGGTCAACTTTCCAGCGGACACGGCGTCCTGTGGGGGTTCAAAAGTGCAGAGGCCCTCGGGTAACCTCTCAGCAGCTAGAATCACCGACTCCTTATGTATCCAGCTGCGCATACAGGTAGCCTCGGGGTACTGCTTGTTCTTCATCAGCTTCACCAAATGGTTCCACAGTGATTCGTAGCCCCACATCGCGGTTGTGAAACTTGGCCCAAGGTGTTCAATTCGCTCCGCGAGGTGCAGCAGCTGATGCAACTTCATGTCTAGCTCGCAGGAAGGCAGGTGAATCTCCATCAGTGTCACGGCACGAGCGACGCCATGTAGGATTGGCAAGCAGTCCTCCCGCGGCACGGCCTTGTCCATCAGGAAGGACACGCTGCAGAGCAGCTGCAGCATCACCTCAAGCTGAGGAGAACCGATTCCAGTGGCGTGGCCAAAGATGTAGGCTCCATATGGGCTAGCAAGAAAGCACCATGTGTGCATCTTCACACTCTTTCCGGGCTTGAAGAGGCTGCGCAGGCGTGATCCACCACCGTCCCTTGAGGGGATGACTGCTGCCACCGATCCCACAGCTGAGGCCATCCGATCAACGCTGGGTGTCAACCATGGCGTCCCCTCCCACGTCCGTCTGTTGACGTTGAGCTCATGCCTGCAAGAGTGATGTGCACAGCCAGCAAATGAATTTTGTTAAGGTAGCCTTGCTGTGTCACCCAACCGACGGTCTCACTTCACTGCACTGCAAAGCAACTCACGGTTCTGGACATACTCACTGGCGGACGGCATCAGTCACCCGGGCGCCGCCCGTGGCAAGCTTGAAAAGATCACGCGTGCTGTTGGCTAGCGTATGCATGGGGTCGTAGTGGAGGCCCAGGTCCGTGTTGAAGTGGTCGAGGTCCAACAGGGCAAGGTGGTGCAGCGCCTGCATGACAAAGGCGATTGCAGACGTGAATGCTGTGGGAGTTGTCTGGTGCAGGGTTATAGTGCATAATGACGCAGAACACTGGATACTGATAGGTCCACCACCCATTCTTTCCCTCCATTGTAACACCCCGTACTTACTGGTGCAGGTTCCACCTCGCCACCATGGGTGGGCACCTGCATTGGCAGTGTCCAAAGTTATTTACATGTGTTATCCTGTGTGTTATCCTGTGCACAGTAATGCACGACAAACATTGGTCCCTACCGGGGTCATGGCCACGAGCTCCACCTTTGTCCGTACTGCTGGCCGAGGCTCATTGGCTGTCCTTGTGATAGACTGTCCTGTGGCATCTGTGATGGGGTTCAGCACACTGGCAGGCCGCCTAATCGGGTCGTCACCGTCCAGCCACGTCCATGCTCCGGGATAGTTGTACTTGTGGACGCCCTTGCTGCCAGCTGTCCAGCACTTATAGCAGCCATGTTTTACTCGTGGTGCCCCTGACATTCGCAGCATGTCCTCGATGGCCCGGTAATCCCCACCGGCCGTGAGAAGTCTAACCCTGACATTGATGTAGGACTCCGTGTGTGCATCGAAAGTATCCACCCCGCGCTCCGCCAGGCTTTCCAGCTCCCTGGACAGGAGCTTCAACACGCACCCAACACGCGGCCTCTCCCCCTCATCCTTCTTTCGGGAACCTGGCAGGATGCCAAGGACCGTTGTCGCGCCGTGGGTGTACCTGAACCCAAGTTGGGCAGACAGGGTTGGCAATGCAATTGGATGGATGTGCATGGCCCTACTGGGGGATCCACTGATGACGGTGCCCCACCTTATGTCTGGGCTGAAATTGTATGCTGTGATGGCGACGGGGTACAGACTGTAACTAGCGTCGTCCTTGTATGCCTGGACACCATCAGTGAAGACACCGAGGAGGATGTCCGTGTCACGCAGGGGAGGCTGTCCGCCTTGTTCAGATTCCTTCATGACGATGTAAGCCTTGCCATCTGTGATGTCACAGATGAACCCGTCTGGCAACCCATGTTCGGCAGCAGATTTCGCATGATGCCTGATTTCCTTGGAGTAGTGCTTCGAAGCAAAAAGCCTCCGAATGTAGTCCGTGACACTTCTGCAGGGGAGAGGGGGGGGGCGGCGCGGGGCAGGGTGGGCAGCTGTAGGTGAGCAGGCATTGGCCAACTGGCTACTCATACACATGCACCGATTGCAGTAGGTGCGGCAAATGTTCAGGTACGCATTAGCAAGAGCAGACAGTGAGGTGCAGTATTGTCGGTGCTCTGGGCTCAAATCAGGAAGCAGGATCCATCAAGCAGAGCACGCACCTGTAGATGAATTTTTTCGTGTTCCCTGCTCGCAGGCAGCCACATTCAGGATTAAGACACATGGTGCTCTGGTGATCGTCCCCTGCATACAAACTCCCACACATCACACAGTACTCGTATGATACGTATCGGCAGTCTTCTTGGGTCAGGACTCGCTGATCCTGGAGGAACGTCAGGAACTGGGCATACTTGGTTGGCCTCTCATCCTCTGGGATCTTGCACCGCTTGTACTGAAGCTTGTAATGATATCCTCACATGCAGCCTGCGTAAGCTTGTTTTTGGACTTGATTGCAAGCATATCGAGCAAGTCGGCAGAGAGGTTGGTATAAAGTTTGCTCTTTTTGGTCCAGTCCACATTAGGAATCCTCCACTCTGTATAAGAGCAGGTGAGTGTCCCCCCATCACCACGCCCCGGCACGTATGCCTCATAATCCACGCATACTGCAGGCTCATGGTGGTCATGTCCCTGGCTAGGGGACGTGGGTGAAGCAGCTTCCATGTCTGTATTTTCAGTTGCATTAAGCACTAGGTGGTCATGCACCGTGTCCATGTCGTCAGGGGGTTCGTCCCAGTCATCTTCGTCGGTCCCTGGGGTGGGATGGGATGGGATTGATTGAAGGGGGTTTGAGGAGCGACTCTTCACAAATGGGCAACCGCCAATCCCGACCCTGCCCTCGACCACGGAGTCTCACCCCCAGCTGTATCTGGTGTGATGAGTACCACAGCATGCGGCAGAGTTGGAGGTTGCTGCATTGTGATCGGCGGGGCTGCGGTCGGATCCAGGAGTCTGTCAGGTTGTCCAATGGCCCGAGTGTATGATGCCGCTACATATGCAGGGTCCGCTGAGGCAGGCAGGGAGCGCACACCGCCCCCCCCCCAGTGGCGCCGGTGGCGTCGGGATGCATCAGCAGTCACCAAGCCGGCAGATGTATCCGATGTCTGTTGGACATTTGCCGCGCATTGGGGGCAAAGACAATACACCAAGTCGCTGGTGCGGGTGGCACCGAGATTATTCGTTGTCACTGTCCCAAAAGCGACCAGCACCAGGAAGCCCAACATGACCAAAGTCAGAGTGTACACCAACCAGTCATCCTCCACGGGTTGCTTCTTTATATCAAGGGCGCCAAGCGGCCTGACCATTGTCAGCAGATTATTGGAGCATGGATTCCGCTGTCTTTTATCTAGTGAGATAAAGTGCCTGCATGGCTGAGCTGATGGACAAACAATGGTGCACTTCGATCGTGGCAGCAGTCTTGACTGTGTACATTCAAAGAGTTTTGAGCAAATAAGACAATCTTGGTCGATTTAAAAATGCTGACGAGAACAGCAGGCCGTGTTTTTGAATTTGGATCTCGAGACACCTTCGAATTTTGGATCAAGACGCAGTCGCAAATGCAGCATTTCCGTTCGGCTGGTACTTCTACTCTGTTTAACCGGTAGCAAACACTTAGCTCTCTTCGTCGGAGATAGAATCTTACAAGGACAGGAGCGACAGCGACAAAACAAAGCAGCAAGCGCCCAGCTAACGGAAAGACCACCTTGCTGACATTTGCCCTCACAGCACCGGCCCGAACCTCACAGGATCGACAACGACTGCCAACACCTTGAACATGAACATCCAAAATGTGGGGAGGAGGAGGACAAACCCCCACAAAACGGAAACCATACGCAAAGCACTCTCAACACTGTGCTTCGGATTCACAGGGACTTACGGAAAGACCTAGCACAAGCACACCGGGGCACACACAAGGGCGCCACCCTGCCGGTCTGACCATCAAGTCCCAGGCTAGACAGAACACGAGCACGTCCCAACCCATTCATGGGCCAGCTGCACGGTGGCAACACCGCCAGCTCAGCGGGTTTGTGGTCATTCACCAGCCACAGCCAGGACTCCAGTCTCACCAGCCCCAAACGTTTGGGTTTAACCCCGCCCTCTCACACTCAAACTACAAGCTGGCCGCTCACAGATGGAATCTGCCTGGCCACTGTGGAATGGCATCCGTGTGCATATTCAATGCTCAGGAGAGGTGGAATAGCCGACGGAGCTCCTTGTGGACATATGCCAGGCTGTATGTCTCATTTTCCAGATCACCACCCTGAACATACCAGTGGAGGCGCGGGCTCCAGGTGCCAGCCTTGCCAGCCGCCCCAGCATGCACAGTGTTGCCATGCAGGAAAATGATCTGGCCAGGCTGTCCCCGCATCCTCATGACTGGGTGACTCGGGAGGTGCGACACGAACCTCAGGGCTGTCTCGTCCGGCAGGGTCAATGTGTTCGCCAGGGACAGGCCTGATGGCGTGCCACCCCGCCCCGCCCCCTGACCGCTGTGGGGGCTGGCCTCCCCACCTGCCGCACTGTTTCTGTCGGCTCTGCTTGCATCACCTGCTTCGGCATCATCTGCTGCTGCAGCAGCAGCTGCAGCAGCAGGCTCTGCCCGAGCAGCAAACGCCTGCACAGTGTGGTGGCTCCCTGGGCTCACCCACAGCTCGAGGTCCTGCTCCAATGGCACGATTGCAACAAACGACATCCCTCTGCCAGGCTGCATGTCCACGTGCAGCGTCTGCCGACGAATGGGGGCTGTGCCGCCAGGGTTGTTGCCAAGGATCACACCAGTGCTTGACCAGGTGCAAGCCAGGGATCCGCTCCACTATGTCTTGGATAACACCCTCCACGTAGGATGCTATGTTCGACAGGCTAGGCCCCGGCTGCACCTTGTCCAGCTTGACCATCATACGCCTCCCGGTTCCATTGCTGAGTCGGAGCCTGCCCTCATGGGTAAGCCGTGGTAGCCCTCCCTGCCGCGCGGGAAGGTCCCCACGCTGAAATATTGCTGCTGCCTTATCGCCTGACACGAGCTCAGTGGCGCTTGTGGGAACATCGGGAGTGATCAGAGAGGCGAGGTGGGGATCGTCTACTACCGCAAACCCCTCCTTGTCAAGCATCACCGGGACCATGTCTATCGTGTGCATGAAAAGGTCTGTTTCGAGTACATGGCTGTCCTCTGGTTCCGGCTCAGATTCCACGTCCGAGTCTGATGATGACTGGATGGCCCGGTTCCTGGTGGGCCTTCGCCGATGGCGAGACTCCCAATAGGACACCACCGCACCAGCCATGCGGCGGATCTCTCGCTCAAGGTGTGCTTCATCATTGGGCAGCAGTCTCCTCCTCTCGTCTGCTGCTTGAGCAGCCGCCTCACCGCCACGGGCATCCTCAGGCGCCGGCGGTGGCAGCTGCACAGTAGCAGATGCGCCCCCCTCCTGCAGGCCGCATTGCATGGAGTGATGCACAGGAGGCACGACGGGTTCACCAGGTTGGTCAATGGGCAGTGTCATTTGGTGCACCCGTTGTGTGCTCTGTGGTGCACCCTCCCTCACACGGACCGACCCCGCCCCTCAGGCTCCCCCACCTGCTGTCTTACCGTGCACGGAAACCGTGGGCTGGGCATGGCAGCTCGTCCTGCAGCCGACGGGGATGGCACAGCAGCCGCCTCACCGCCACGGGTGTCCTCCTCCTGCAGGCCGCGTCACACAGAGTGATGCACAGGAGGCATGACAGGTTCGCCAGGTTGGTCGACGGGCAGTCATGGCAGCGGGAAGCAGACTTGCACCGAAGCCCTGGTGTACCGGAGTACACCACAGAGAACACAGCAAGCAAGTGCATCCCAGCCGACACACTCCACCCCGTCGTGCTGCTCCTATGGAGTGTCATTTGGTGCACCCGTTGCATGCTCTGTGTTACACCGGGGATCCTCAATTATGTCGACCGACCCCGC